CTTCACTTCGTTCTCTTCACTTCGTTCTCTTCACTTCGTTCTCTTCACTTCGTTCTCTTCACTTCGTTCTCTTCACTTCGTTCTCTTCACTTCGTTCTCTTCACTTCGTTCTCTTCACTTCGTTCTCTTCACTTCGTTCTCTTCACTTCGTTCTCTTCACTTCGTTCTCTTCACTTCGTTCTCTTCACTTCGTTCTCTTCACTTCGTTCTCTTCACTTCGTTCTCTTCACTTCGTTCTCTTCACTTCGTTCTCTTCACTTCGTTCTCTTCACTTCGTTCTCTTCACTTCGTTCTCTTCACTTCGTTCTCTTCACTTCGTTCTCGGGTTAAATTAGAGAAAAAGTCTTCTCATACTCGATATCTGGGAAACGTTTACGCGGACAGGCTCTTAAGCGACATATTGAGGCTCAGGATATCGAACATCTCAGAGAAGGCCCTCTAAAAAAGCTTAAAAATAAGAAAAAAATGAACTTTAGATGATTTTTACAATGTGATGCATGTGTCGTAAAATTATATGTTGCTGCCGTAATGTAAAAAATATTTCTCAAATCCATACCTGTGTCGCCATTTGCGATACGTTACTTTTTAGATTAACTTGACAGAAAAACGTATTGTTCTATGTATATTCTTTCATAGAAGATCGACTCTGATCGTTAGTTTTAAAAGTATGTATTTTTAGTCTATGTAATTTTTATTATAGATTAGTTTTCATCCATTGTACGTAAATACAAACAGATATTCGTAAGAGGGGTTTATTGACTTAAAGCTGTTATTCATGAGAAGTCCATATTGTATAAGCTATGCAATGTTATTTCGTGTAAATTCGACATTCAAATCAAATTTAACGAATTGTCGTTCATATGCTTTTTCTGGTCCCTGTTCATTAGTTCGACGCGCATTGGCCACATACATCATATTGTCGGTTAAATCATACACAGCAACATGCAAATCACCAGTTTTTACAACAGATGTAATATCTTTAATGGATAAGGCTGGTGTAATTTGTCTATAATTTTTTGTTATTTGTTTATAAAGTTTATATTGTGCACTTGGACATAACCAATCCCTACCTTCATAAATAACATTAGGTATTCGCGGATGCCAATCAGCTAGCGGTTCTAAGTTTTGATCATCGAAAAAATTTACTTTTGAATGTGAATATTGTATCATTCGCGCGGTATTTAATTTTCCATCAGCAACAGCTAACATTAAGTGACATGTTCGTCGGACATTTGATATGTAAGAGAGAGCATCATCAATAGTATTTGAATACTGCAATATGTAACGTTCAACAAAGATAAATGGCACACCTATAAATGATTCATCTCCAAAAGTATCATCGGGAAATGAAACACCAATTTCTGAGATACCAAGACGAGTGGAAGACATGCCGGTCAAAGTTCCAATATACCCTATATAAAAGAAAAAAAGCTTCATTGTGAATCTCCATCCGTTGGTACGACATTACTTTCGCCAGGTACGATGTCTACTGTTCCACTGATGAATCAACCTCCAGTGCCTGAAAACAACACTAATATTATGACGTCTATCAACATAACTGAAAGTGTTTTTTCGATGCCATCTCCATCCATGCCTACTTTCTCGTCTAGAGATGTGCACGGGTACCATTTTCGTACCCGTACCCGATTCGAAAATTTTTTTCCATCCGTACCCGACTTATGCCTAAAAATTTTCTTCTTTTTGTTTTCCAGCTAAAAACTTTTGTTTTTCGGCTCAAGATGTCAAATTATCATTACGTTCTCAAGTAATTCTTTTTTAAACCTTCATGTATTTTAGCTAAACTTCTGTATTTTTTCACTAAAATTTTGTAGGTTTTCCATTAGAACCGTGCGGTTTTCGAGTAAATTTAAAAAAAAATAGAACCCGTACCCGACAAATTCGTACCCGTACCCAACCTTCGGGTCGGGTCGGGTTGCACATCTCTATTCTCGTCAATACCGACGGTTGGTAACTTAACAACACAAATGCAGTCTCATGCTCCTCCTCCACCACCGCATTTAACCACCACAATTGGTGAACACGATTCCTCACATAAGAATGAGAGACTGAACTCCGTTTCTCTCTTTAGAATCATCTGTAAATCCGTTTTCTTACTATTCTTTGTGAATTTCACAACGTTTTCTCTTTATTGAACTTACCAGCCCAGGCAACATTTGCAAATGGATGACCAAGTTTCTCGGTTCTTGGATGATAAATAGTCACAACAGGATAATCTTGCAAGCTACCATCAATATCCCAATCGAGTGCTCTTAATTGTAGTGTTTTTCCACTCAACGTAGAGTTTCCCCATAGACCGTACAATGAACATCGTCCTTATAAGAGGTAAAATGTATACTTCCAAAACGAATGCTATGAGTGTTTCATGTAAAGTTTAAGGCCCTTCGTTTTTCAAGTTTTTCGTTAACTATGATAGTTAATGAAAAACCTGAAAAACGAAGGGCCTTAAACTTTTGAGCCACCTCACTTTACCTCTTGTGATTTCACCAAGAAAATGGAAACGCCGTATCAATGCATAATCGACTTTTGAACCGTCAGCGACTCCTTTCAATTCATTATAAATTTCCTCGTCAACGTATGGTTTGGCCAGCTCACTTTGAACATCCAAAGCAGCAGCTAAACCTTTATCAGCAATTAACTTTTTTAACCATTCAGGCAACTTCATATCTTTTAAACTATCTATGATTTGTTCTTCAAAGTGTGCCCATGCTACAATTTAACAACAAATAAAATTAACGTCTTAAGGAAACTTATCAGATTCACCTACCCTTTGGCATAAGTTTATTAATCTGTTCGGCTAGTAGAGTACCATATGCAAAACCATAATCATAACCATTGTTTCCCCACACGTGAACAAGCCATATCTGATCACCGTCCGTATTGGTGCCTACTTGGTACAACGTTCCATTCTGAACTGTTCGAATTAATACTGGTGGACTATCATCAATTGGAAATAAATTTTGTGGTCCAAATGCGGAATCATTGGCACAAAACGCGCCTAAATTAGGTGAACCAACAGAGTGAGAGTAAGTATTTCCTATGTAGAGGAAAACAAGAGGAA